CTATATCTGCTCAACTTTAAAAAATACATTAAATGAAGCCCCCAGTCATCAAAAGGTTGCTTACTTCTGATTTGATGCACATATGCAGGCGGCCATTCACTAAGCATAGCTATTGCAGCATGTCAGTGCATGATGTGATAAAAATTAGTACTTCAAGAGGTTTGCCCTATTTTTGCAGCCAATACATACATACCTTCAAATGAGCTATAAAACATTCAGAATACAGACTTTTAAGTGTTTAGAAATAGATAAATTGGAGCCAACTAAAATCTTTCTTGATTCTGCCATATCTCGCCCCTCCATTGGCTTTATTTTTTTATTTTAGATTCCAGTTTTTAAAGAAAAGGTGCATGCCATAAAACAAGTCATCTTTATAAAAATATATTTTGTCTTCCTGCAAACAAACTGGTGATGGCGGTAGGGATGGGGTTCATCCTTGTCCGTTTTGGGACTTTTTTTTTGTAAATATGCTTTTGAATTGACTGTGTGAAGGGCAGCCATTTTGATAGAACCAAAGTAGTCCATGATCAGCTAAGGATATGATTATTGCTACATATGCTCACTCATGGAAGGGTTTCTAGTTCAAAGGACCATGCATATTCGGTTGTAGAGTTAAGATATGATCAATTTAAATCGACGATTTACAATCTCAGTGACAGAATCTATTTAAAATTGTTTATCATCTATTCGACTTTGGTTCTCTATTCAGCATTTTTATTTTGCAATGTTTGGTGTACCTAATCATATACAAAGCATGTATGTTTGTTCCAAAATATAGCATTTCATATTAAGTATTCATAATGTTATGTAATTTTGTACATTGAATACAAGGTGACAGTATTTTAATTCATGCTAAATTATAGTCTCTCAGGTGAATCTTCGGTTATGAAGCTTATGTAATTTCAAATTGGAATTCTGTTTTAGAGCTCTATATTGAGCACTTAGAAATTAAAATTTAATTTAACAAATTAAATTAGTTCATTAAAGGGCTGAGTCTCACAGCCATTTCATGGGAGGTCAGCTGTCTTTTTTTCACACTATCCGTCCTTTGCAATACAGGTAGTCCTCAATTTATGACCACAAGTTGGGACCGGGATTTCCGTCTTAAAATGTTGCAACCATAAGTCAAGTTAGGCCTAATGACAAATTTTACAGCAATTGTTAAATAAATCACTGTAGCTGTTAACAAAAATCACACAGTCATTAAGCGAATGACTGTTTCCCCAGTTGGTGTTTTTTGAAATTTGCAAAAAAAAAAAAAAGTTGTAGATTGCAATCACATAACCGCAGCTGATTTTAAGTGCAAGCCAGTTGCCAACAGCCTAAATAGTGATCACATAACTGTAAGGGTGGCGCAACAGTTATAAATGTAAATAAAAGTCATAAGTCTCTTTTTCTGGTGGCTGCTGTAATTTTGAACCATCTTTAAACAAATGGCCATAAAGTCAAGGACTACCTATGTTCATTCACTTTTGTTTTCTCTGTGTGCTCGAGACTTTGAGTTCTTCAAACATTAGAAGAAACTTGCCACATAAATAAAAATAGCTCCCATATTCTATTCAAGACACACCATTAGTGAAATAAGACTATTGCAATGCCTATTATCTGAGGTATTACATGCTGCTGCATGGATAATTCATGGGGGCAAACCTGTGAGATATTGATAGATGTTTCAATTTTGTCTATTCGTGTTTTATACGAATCAAATTGGCTTCTTAATGCAGGATGAACTTTAAACAACTGTTTTCTTGTGAACTGTCTTTCATTCTGAACTGAGACACCATTTGGGAGAAACTAATGCTCTGTTGTACTGCCTCTCCATATACAGTAATGATTCAACTTTGTTCTTTCACCATATCCTCTTTCTCCGACATTTATAGATAACTTCTCTTTTAGATTCATAACGCTTCTATCATTGATAAACAGCTTTGATGTTTCATCATTGCTTATCTATCTTTGAAATATAAGCTTTCTCCAAAATAAAATAATGTCCATAAAGTATCTCATCTGAATTTCTCACCTACTTGTTGCTAATGTGATTTCCTGGCCATTATTATGCAAATTTATGAATTCTGCGATATGCACCATTGAATTGCTAACTACCTGATTATCCTTTCTGTGATTAGAAGGAAAGACGTTTGATGCATATCTAGTCCAGTGACCTATTTTGAACCATGAATACCAGGCAGAACTCCAATTCTTTCATGACAATTGACGTTTAGAAGAGCAGTGTTTCTAAACATTACAAAATAAAATGGGAGGGTGGGGGAATGGCTGCAAACTACAAAAGGCAGAATCAAAATTAAGCAAGTGGGAGGAGCTGCAAATAACTACAGCCATAGCTTTTGATGTTCAAAGTTTGGATGCTTTTGAAGGTGCATCTGAAGATCGCTTGTTACTTGGACAATTGCTAATTTGTATTTAAATCTTTTTGTGAAACCTAAAGAGGGATTATTTCTCATTTTTCCCCTTCCTTGACTGGTTATCCCTTTTCCTTTCTTACTTTCTAATTTCCTTCCCTGCCCAATGGGGATAGTCTTCCTTATTCCATATTCAGTCTGTTCTTATTATTTGTTTATTGTTGTTATTTTTGTTGTTGTTCCTTCTCCTTTCATTGCTTCTGCTGGAAAGAAGAGAATTATATCTGTATATAAATGTATGTATATGCTTGTTGTTCTTTTGTACTTCTAAGCAATTTATGTGGCTGAAAATGAGTACAGTACAATACCTTATTTTACAGGCATTTGGTTTTAATTAGTAGACATTATTTACATTTAAATATGTAGTTTATATGTAATTAATACTTTGGTGTGTCCTGGCTGGGTTCTTTTTTGCAGTATGAGGTTTCTGGCAAATATACAAAAACTTACTTTCATATATGCATATACTTTTAAATGTGTGTGAAAAGAAATATTTATTAAATGGGGGTGGGGAGGAATACTCAAGATTGGTAGGGATTTGGTTATTTACTCAAACTTTCTTTTTGAAAATTGGTCTAGAAAGTTGGCATGCAAAAATATGAACCCATAACTTAAAAAATGTTTCAAGGAGTAAGAAAATTGTATTTACCTAAATATTTTTAGAGGATAGAGATTAAACACCTTTCCATATACTTTGAGGAAAAGCAACAGAAGTACTTTAATGAAGAATAAATTAAATTTATTCCTGTGGTTTGTAGCTTTTAAAACTGCAAAGAAGAAACCGTCATAACACTGAAAATTTGAGTGTTGAATCACAAGTGTATAAAATATTTAAAATCACAGTCCCTTGTCATCATTGCTCCATATGATAGGCCATTTTCTGACATCTTACATGTTGAAATTTAGCAAGCTTTCTATAGCGAACTATTCCCTAACTAAATATAGTCATAGTTCTGCATTGTACTTTATGTTGCAAGATACAAAAATAGCAGATGCACCAGTTTGGATATGCTTCAAAACATATTAAGATATACATTTACAGAAATTCTATGCATGCTACACTTCCTCTTAGATGAGTACATTATTCCGAATTTAACACTCATTTCATTCTTCACGATTAAAATATTTAAATTCTAACTTTTGAATAATTATTAACACACATATATGCAACTTTGTTACTATGTGGGGATTTTTAGTACACCGCTTAGAATAATTCAGGATTGGGATAATTGATAAATGCAATAAATAAATAAACTTAGAGTTTGAGTATTAAACTGGAGTTTATTTTGTCACTCAATTTAAACCTCTGCAACTACTCATAATAATATTCAGCATTTAAATATTAAACAGCATTCAGAGTGTTTTGTTTATGAGACGCATTTGGATTAGCAGAATATTGCTGTTGTTATACTAGTTTCTTGTTATGGTCAAATTCAGTAGAGCACCTGCTAAATTCAGAGGAAGTGATGATTAAAACATTATCCTTCTTTAGAAAGGAAAGGAAATGCCATTTTACTTTGCAAATATCAAAATTATAATACATGTTTTCTTGTACAAAAACTTGCTTCAATATGCTATTTGATTTTAGCTTCTGGAAATTCCTGTAAATATTAGATTAAGCAATATCTGATGGTGAAGTAGCGGATACATAGGGAGCCTGGGTACACGGAGGCAGCTGTAGAAAGACAATATTGATGTGACAATAATATTCTTCTAGTTATTTAACTTAACTAGATTTAGAGATTGTTCAAGAAAATAGAAGAGAATGCTATATATACCTCAGTGGTGGGATTCAATTTTTTTTACTACCGGTTCTGTGGAAGTGGCTTGGTGGGCGTGGTATGGCTTGGTGGGCATGGCTTGGTGGGAATGCAGGGGAAGGATACTGTAAAATCTCCATTCCCACCCCACTCCAGGGGAAGGATACTGCAAAATCCCCATTTCCGCCCGATCAGCTGGGACTTGGGAGGCAGAGAATAGATGGGGGCGGGGCCTGTCAGAGGTGGCATTTACCGGTTCTCCGAACTACTCAAAATTTCCACTACTGGTTCTCCAGAACTGGTCAGAACTTGCTGAATACCACCTCTGATATACCTCAGGAGGTTCCTGAATGAAAGATGAAATGTAATGAATCAATGAAGAATTTAAGCAGCAGATGCAAAGCATATATACCATGTCTTTCTTTTTGTAGTTTCTGCTGACTAGATAAAAGGATACTTCTTGGCTCAAATATAATTATTTATGCCTGAACTAATTTACACTATAAGTTCTTTCCGTTAATGCAATGGTTATTACAATGGCTGTCCTAGAGTTATTTTCCAGTTTAATTGCTAGGTGGAAAACCTAATTACCCAGGCAAAATTGTTTTCATACATTCAGTGTAAATAAAACTGGTTGACTGTGCATGTTTAACTTTGAAGATCATATGTAGGTGATAACTGTAAGAACTACCATTAAAATAATGTCTTCTAAGCATTTTTAGTGTTATTGTACAAGTCTGAATTTCTATGTTTATATTAGCCATTTAAATGCATTTCTAGTGGATACTTGATACAACTAAATGTTTTTACTTTTTTTTAGAAGCAGGTGGTAAAAAATTGAAGAGTACAGTACAGAGAAGCACAGAAACTGGGTTGGCTGTGGAGATGAGAAATTGGATGACACGTCAGGCCAGCAGGGAGTCTACAGATGGCAGCATGAACAGTTATAGCTCAGAGGGAAAGTAAGTCCTGACTGTAATTGTAAGTAAATATCTCTAAACCAAATGTCATTGATTTAAATTAGGTTTAAGATCACAACATTGCACAGGAACATACATCATTCTAAATCCCAGTGAGGTTAATTGAATATACAATTACCATTTTAAAAAGCAATAAATGTGATTCTCCCTTTCTCTCTTGATACTGGAGCTTCCTATCCAACAAATAGGAATCACCTTCTTTACAAATGTAACAAAGTAAAAAAAGGGCAATCTTAGCATATGCATTTAATGCAGTGTTTCTCAACCTTTGTAGCTTGAAGATGGATGGACTTCAACTCCCAGAATCTCCCAGCCAGCAGCGCTGGCTGGGGGATTCTCGGAGTTGAAGTCCACCCATCTTCAAGCTTCCAAAGTTGAGAAACACTGATTCAATGGGATACAAAAATTACCCTATCCTTCTTTCCCAACATTTTTTTCTGGCATGCCTGGCCACTGCTGTATACCAATAGGCAAGATAGAAGGAAATGATGGGAATTTCACTTCAACAGAGTTGGTAGGTACCAAGTAGGAAAAGGCTGTTGTGGAAGGACAGTGGCATCTCTAGAAGGAGCACAAAGCCAAGATGTTGGTTGCTGCAGTATAATCAAAGCTCATGCCTTTTGTATGTGCGTGTCGCATACCTGCATAAAAGGGGCAGGGCTTCAGGTCACCACCATGACTGCCATCCTGAGTTTTGCTGTCTCTGTTTAGATCAGTGTTTCTCAACTTTGTGAAGTTTAAGATGGGTGGACTGCCACTCCCACGATTCCAGTCCAGAAATTCCAGTCTCCCAGGACTTCAACTCTTAGAATTCCCCAACTATGGGGATTTAAAATCCACCCTTCTTAAACTTGCCACGGGTCAGAAACACTGGTGTAGAGTAGACCATGTTATATATGTATGAAGCTAGCTATCTTGACCAACATTCATTTGAAGAGACAAGCCATGCAATCATTTGTCAATGACACTGCAAAAGAAATACTTCACATTGATTCAAATATCTTTTCAGCCAGTCAAAAAAATGCCAGATTATTTAGAAGATAAGAAAGACATCACAGTAGCTGTGTTCCATCTGGCAAAGCACGGCATTTTGTAATATTCTAACAAATATGCTTAGCTAAAAGCAAACTCCTTTGTCTTCACTTTATGTCATTCTTCATGTATAATTCGAAAGAGGCTTAGAATAACTCTTGAAGATGAAATACTCTTGAGAACAGAGGAACTGCTTACATGACATGCCTTTAATTAGCAACATTTAAATTCAGTATTTGACTGAAAATATTAGCAGGAAATGTGTTCTGCCCAATTTGGTTCTTTTCAGAAATTATAGAGCTGCGGTGGTTCAGTGGTTAGGGTGCAGTACTGCAGCTAATTCTGCTACTTGCCGGCTGCCTGCAATTTGGCAGTTCAAATCTCACCAGGCTCAAGGTTGACTCAGCCTTCCATCCTTCCAAGGTCGGTAAAATGAGGACCCAAATTGTTGGGGGCAATATGCTGACTAAACCGCTTCGAGAGGGCTGTAAAGCGGTATATAAGTCTAAGTCTAAGTGCTATAAGGCAATTCTCAGTCAATTGTATTACCATATTAAATGCCACATTTAAAACAATGTGAGATATACTTTGTTTTTTCAAATAAACTACTTAGAATCTTTTGATTCCAGGTCAGATTCCAAAATACAAGTAATATGATCAAAAATATTTTTTAAGATCAAATAAAATATTCAGCAGATTCAGTAATAAATGTATTTTTTGTGTCATAAAATAACATTTGTAAATGTTCAATAGATATGGAATGGTACATAACTAAACTAATGGTACATAACCACGTTTATAATATAATTTGTAATGGATCTTTGTGTTAGAACCATCTTAGTAAAAAGAAATGTGCTTTCTATTAGTTTGATCTTTCCTGGTGTGCGGTTGGCAGCAGATAGCCAATTCAGTGATTTTCTGGATGGACTCGGCCCTGCACAGCTTGTTGGACGCCAGACCCTGGCTACTCCAGCAATGGGTAAGAAATGTTGACATTTGAATAATCACACCCAAACTGTATTGCTCTATAGGTCAACCACCTATATCCACTTTAGATTTGTTGGAATAATTTTGACTTAGGATAGATTTGGAGAGGAAGGAAAGCACTCATTAAACACACACACACACACACACACACACACACACACACCTCAGGTTATGAGCTTCTCATAATCACCTTGAGGTCCCATTTGTTTTTGCATTGTGCTTATCTAATTCTTACAGCAAAACTATCAGTACATAAGCAACAGGGATTTTCTTTCAAGTAATTTAATGTCGTAGCAACTCAGAGTTGCTTCGAAGTGAAATGGACAGCAAACAAATTTAAATAAATAAATGCCTTGTGGCTAATTAGCGCTGACAAGGAGAGATTGACCTAAAATGGCTTCTGTGTCTAAGAACTAAAATTTCAATCTCCCCTCTCACAATCCAGCACTTTAACACTATTCCATATGGCTTTTTTTTGCAACTGTGAATATCTAATCTCTAGGAAACATCACGGTGGTTTTATGGAAAATTATAATTAGATATATGGCTGAATTGGGAAAATATATCCTTTAGCAGTATTTCTCATCCTTTTTTTCTCCCGTGGCTCACTTCAACCTTGCTTTTCTCCTGGGACCTCTTGTCCAAGTTCTATTATGTATACGGACATGGAACAATGCCTTTTCTGGCATCAGTTAGATAGTATTTGCAGTATCATACACATTGCTTTTTTGGGCTCCTTTGGTACATACCATGATCCCCCACTATATGTTTTTCAACTTTATCCCCCTTGAAGTATCCCAGGGGCCCCCATTGAGAACTGCTGTCCTAGCCTTTGAATTGTTAATGATAGAAATAGAAAATCTGTTGTTCAGTCCTGTAAGTAAGAATCTAGTACAATCGAGAGTGATCAGATGTAGTTAAACTGAGTTGATGCTGAGGTACAGATGAAATATTTAATTATTTACTTTAATGTCTATTTATATAATCACAGGCTGTGAGTGTGGGTGCATGGGTGCGCGCATGCACTCATACCATTGCATCTGCTTTTCATGTAAGTACTTGCATTTTTTGTCTCTTTAGGTGATATCCAAGTTGGAATGATGGACAAAAAGGGACAATTGGAGGTAGAAATAATAAGAGCACGAGGCCTTGTTGTAAAACCAGGTTCAAAGACACTGCCAGGTAAAAGAAGTATGCTTAGCTCCCAGAACTATAAATGCTGTAATAGTATGGGAGCAATTCGTTTTTCCATAACCTTACCTTTTCCATAACCATAATAGTGAAAGTAGCCTCAGCTTTATGGTACCGAACATCCCCATAGGGCCTTCTTCTTTAGAGACGAAATCTGCACAATACAGAGTATTACTTTTTTAATTCAATTTTCTTAATTCTGTCCCAATTTTGATATATAGGCATATGCATGGAAACTCTTAGTATGACAGGTCTTTGGGGTTCTCTGAGCTTTGTGGTTTTCTTGCAAACGTTTCATTATCCAAACTAGGTAACATCATCAGTGCTAGTAAGGAGTGGGGTTTGCTCTCAGTTTATATACTAGTCACTTGCTCTGTCAGTGTTGATGGGGGTAGTCTTAAAAGTTCTTTGGTTGGGCAGTCTTGTTTGGCAGTTTCTTGATTGAGATATTGTTTACTTGATTATTGGTCTGTTGTTAATGTTGGAGTTAATTTATGTTTATCTTGGTGCTGATTGGCGATCGGGAGGTGCTTTGGTCTTTTTGTTCCCCTTTTGGCTTTTGATTGTTTCTTTTGCATAATATATAGATATTGTTTATGTGTCTATTGATGGCTAATTTGTCAGAGTGCCAGGCATTTTTGGTCTAGGATGGTCACAGTTTCCCAACTGAAATTATGGTTAAGTCTGAATACTTAGCTAAACTCTTAGCATTCTTGGGATCCAAAGCTATCACTGTGAATTGTCCTTCTGCTTTGTTTAGTTTTCTGTTGAAGACTAAACATCTATCGATCCCTGAAGCAATACTGCTAGTATTTGCTCATCCGCAATGCTAGGGAAGAGAGACAAAGGACGGAAAGGGAAGCTTGCATAAGTAATTTATTTTGGTTATTCATAAATGCACTGTATGAAGATATATTCAGTTGGAGCTAAATATCACTGACTGCTCAAGAGCATAGCTAATGTGAAAATTTTCTTAACAGTTGTTTATATTTTTCCCTCCAAAGCACCATATGTAAAGGTGTATCTATTAGAAAATGGAGTCTGTATAGCCAAAAAGAAAACAAAAGTGGCAAGAAAAACGCTGGAACCTCTTTACCAGCAGCTGTTGTCATTTGAAGAGAACCCTCATGGGAAAGTTTTACAGGTAATTTGCATCACTACTATGCAGATTAATCATGTTTATTTGTTGATTTTTAAAAATGCCTGTGCTGCTTCCCATAAAATATTTCAGTTGAACTGAAAAATATACATATTAAAAAATAATTGAAGAGGAATAAATGAATTAATGCAAATAAATAAACTTTTGTTTAATATTGAGAAGACCTCCCTGAAAAGGTAGGATTTCAATAGCCAATGTAAAGGCAAGCAGCCCTCACACATGAAGAAAAGCATTTCAAATCCCATCAAGGAGGTCCTTCTGTAAGTGACCATAAGATAGCATTGTTAATAGGGTTTCCCTAGGGAAGGGAAGTGCTTAAACAAGTATATAATAGAGAAGGCATCCTACTAGAAGCTGCAGTTGAGGATGAATAGACCGTCTTATGACCATAGACCCCAAAGAAAAGACCACCGTAGTAATACATTGCATGATCATTAACAATAATTACTCATTGCAGGGCAGACTTTACATGGTATAAGACAATTTAGCATTGTTAAAAAAAAACAGAATTGTCCCAAAAATTTAGAAAGGAATGAGGAGATCCAGTACAAAGAGAGAATTGCTGTAGAATTGGCAGTATAACAGAAAAAAAAAGTGGACTGGGATTTCCGTTGCATCTACATTAAAGGGGTATCTTTGTTCAGCAAAGGGGATTTTTCTGTAGCTGCCTTCTAACACCTGCTGTAGGAAGAACTTTACTAGATTTCTTTTTCCAAGTTGTTTACAGATTTAACATACCAGTGATAACCTGGAAGCTTTTAGGTATCTGGCAATAAGAGCTAATAAGCCATCAGTGGAGATAGCTAGTACAATTGTTTCAAAACCTAGTTGGGTTGTGATTAAGGCATCAGGCTAAAACCAGGAAGCTATGAATTCTAGGCCTGCCTTCAACACAAACCAGTGGAGTATCCTTGGACCAAACACTTTCTCTCAGCCCTAGCAAGAATGAATGACAAACTATTGAAAATCCACAGGCATCATCCAGTATCTGCTCATGCCTGTCTCCCAAGGTCATTCCCACATACCATTATAGGTCATTAGCACTTGGACAAGTATGGTAGACTATTCCTCTTCAGGAAGGGCACAGCTATTGAGTCAGCTAAAATTGGTAATAGGCCTGCTAACTACAGAAGTCAGAAGTCTGTGACAATGATAACTGTAGAAGCACCTGTGAATTATTTACCATAAACTTTTAAGTATAACACTATCATCCCTTTTTAGCCAGGGACACCACTCTATCATGCAAAGAACTTCACCATCTGCTTCCATTAGTTCAACAAAATGACAGGTCAAGAGAAGAACATTGTAGCAGTACAGCAATAAAAACCCCTCTTCATCATTTTGGATCTTAATCCTGCATAATGTAATGAACCAGATGGTGCACTGAACACCTCAGTAGCTACTACAACAAAAGCAGTGTACATCTCAGTGTGAAGTGCACAAAAGGGTTTGCTGGGTGGCTACTTGAGACATTATTCAAGTTGCAATTTAAGCCTTTTTTATATATATCATCCACCATCATGCAATAGGCCTAGCTATGTGTTTCTCCATTGAACTCCATTGAACTTCTCAAGATGGATTACACAACTTGTGCTGATAAAAGTTTCTTTTCTGGTTGCTTCCCAAAAAATCAAAAAGAAGCCCCTGAAAGAGTGGTGAAATCCATTTTTTTTACTACCGGTTCTGTGGGTATGATTTAGTGGGCTTGGTGTGGCTTGGTGGGCGTGGTTTGGTGGGCATGGCAGGAAGGATACTGCAAAATTTCCATCCCCACCCACTCCAGGGGAAGGATACTGCAAAATCTCCATTCCCACCCCACTCCAGGGGAAGGATACTGCAACATCCCCATTCCCTCCCCACTCTGGGGCCAGCCAGAGGTGGTATTTGCTGGTTCTCCAAACTACTCAAAATTTCCGCTGCCAGTTCTCCAAACTGCTCAAAATTTCCGCTATCGGTTCTTCAGAACCTGTCAGAACCTGTTGGATTTCACCCCTGCCCTGAAGCATTGGGTGATTTCCTTAAACAACTCCCTATTGCAGCAAGGAAACTGTAGCCTGAGTTTCAGTTTGGGGTGGAAGAGCAAATAACAAGAGGGAGTAGCTGCTACTAGCTGCTAAGTTTTACATAGGCTATATGCCTATGGAGATTCTCAGTCATCCAGGTCATGGTTGTCCGAAAGATACTTTTTCAAGAGGCAACTAGACTTTCTGGTTTTTCTTTGAAGATGTTTCGCTTCTCATCTAAGAAGTTTCCACAGCTCTGAAATCTTGTAATCTGGAAACGTCTTCAAAGAAAAACCAGAAGATCCAGTAGCCTCTTGAAAAAGCATCCTTGGGTTAGGCCATATGCCTTTCACCTGTCCTTCAATTCCTTCGTACCTCAGTTGCAAGTTGTTTTTCTGTTTGTGGCCTGTTCTGCTCTAGGATATTAATTTAATATAGTGAAGGCTAACCTCCCTGCCCCCAGCTGTTTTATGGCATAATAATGTTTTAAGCTCTCTATTATGCGAATCCATTTCCAACTTTATAAACAAATAATATCCTACCTTGCTTTTACATAAATATTTAACATATACATACAGACATCCATCTTGTTTTTCCCATTTGAGATAAGCAATTTTATGCAGAGTGCAGAGAAAAAGAGTTAGCTAAAGTAACTAAATGATAAAGAAAAAGAAAAGGAAATATAGCTAAAACTATTTTATACTATTACAATCTACCATAGCTTCTGCAAAGTTTTCTATCTTTGCAAACCATCCTACCTCCAACTATCTCCATACCCCATTTCATGCATTTCTTCTTCTTCTTTCTACTTCTCATGTCTTTCTGAGGAACTCATCAACCTCATCCCGCCTCAGGTCTTCCCTTTCTTTCAACCATTCACTCTTTCATATATCAGTTGTGGAATTTCTCATTCATCCTCTCTATGAGCCCCAAACCAATAACAATAAGAATCTATTTCATACTGGTTACTCTGTTTTGTATTCAATCTGCATTAATTTAGCAATCAATCACTGTTTGACTCTACCTTCTTGTTTCACCACGCATACCTCTTAAGTAACCCATTCCTTCTGTGGTCAACTTACTTTTCTGTTTCTCCTGTCACATCAACTCTCACTTTCATATTACAAAGTGGAGAGAAACACACAATATGGGGGGGGGGGTAGCCATTCTTGCTACCCCCCCTCCATATTTATTTCATAACATACCATATACTACTTGCTATCTCTCATTTTTGCACATCTGAACATTTCTTCATCCATTTGTTCTTCTACCAAAGTACACAGCCTATCTCCTTGCTCTGGTCTTTTGCCATTTATGTATAACTTACCAATATTAACACATTTCCCCCCCTTATAACAGCTATCTTTATCTTGGATACATCATTTCCTATATTACTTTTTGTAACATACAGCCATAATTTATTGCAAATCATTTGGGTTCTCGGCAGGGGTGAAATGTAAAATTTGTTACTACCGGTTCTGTGGGCGTGGCTTGGTGGGTGGGGTAATGTGACTGGGTGGGCGTGGCCAACTTTTTTTTTTTTTAACTTTGCAAAGCATTTTTTCTGCAAATGCGAAAAAATGCTTTGAAAAGCCTCTGCCGATCAGGAACACAGCTGGGATTCTCAGAGCCTTTTCAAAGCATTTTTTAAACCACCTCTTCCGCTGAAGAGGTTGCAGAAAAAAATGCTTTAAAAGTCTCTCTGATGATCCCAGCTGAGTTGCCTGATCGTTTTAAAAAATGCTTTGAAAAGCCTCTGACATCCCAGCTGAGCCGCGCAATCATCAGAGGCTTTTTTTTTACTTTTAAAAGCATTTTTTTGGTGGACGAAGTTGTAGAAAAAATGCTTTTAAAAGTAAAAAAAAAAAGCCTCTGATGATCGTGCGGCTCAGCTGGGCATGGTAGTGGTGGTGGGGTGCAGGGATTTTTGCTACCGGTTCTCTGAACCACCCGCTGCCATCGCTACCGGATCAAGTGATCCGGTCCAAACCGGGAGCATTTCATCCCTGGTTCTCGGCCAACAACACAGTATCATTTTTGTACAAAGATTCACATCCCAACCAACTCACTACTCATGATATCAACATTTATTTGTAAATGCATTAAATAAAAAAGGGGGCAACACACATTCTCATCTTATTCCCTGCTCAACATTCAACTATTTATTAAGTATTCCATTTATTCTCACCCATGCTTTCTTATCCTATATCATTCTTACTGCATTCAGCAATCAGCCTTCATCTCTATAGTCACTTAAAACCTTCCAGAATTCCAGCTCATTTATTTTGTCATATACTTTCATTAAATCAGCAAACATAATTTTCTTGCTACATTCATGTGGTTATTAATGCCCGTTTGACGTGCAAAAAAGTATTTTACCCATTACTATATGGCGTAAAGCTGCATTGTGTTTCCTAAATTTTAGTCATTGTTACTTCTTATACTTTTTCTAACAGAATTCTACGAAATAGCTTCCTAGGCATACTTCACAAAATTAATCCTCTGTTGTTTTCAATTCACTCTTGCTATTTTCCCTTTGTAGAAGAGAGCAAAAACAGCATTATCCTCCTAGTCAAACATTGTCTAGCCTGGAGATTTAATAGTGGTCTTCCATTCTTATACTAACCAAGTCTAATTCTGATTCATTTTTCCAAATTTACCCAAAGTAAACTAGATGCTCCCTCCTGCTGTGACCTAAATAGAAGTACAGTACAACATTACGACTAGAAACCGCAGCAAATAAAAATTAAATCCAAGACTGCAGATTAAAAGCCTCATAGCGTAATTGGTGAAAAGTCACATAGAAATGGTATATTGCAGATATTGGGAGCTGATTCCAGATTATCATTCATATACCGTGTTTCCCCAAAAATAAGACCCTGTCTTATATTTTTTTGAACCCTGAAATAAGCACTTAGCCTTATTGCCATGCGTTCAAAAGCCCGATTGGGCTTATTATCAGGGGATGTCTTATTTTGGAAACAGGGTAGTCATATTTTAAATTGTAAACAATTATTTATTTATTATAAATTTAAATCTGTTTGGAAGAAAATAGCTAAACACCTTCCAACTTTTTTTTTTTTTACATTTATCATCCTGAAAAAGTTTAAGGTGTCTGAGAGATAGATCTGTAATGAGATTCAAGCCAGATTACCAGTCATTCTGGTATGAAAGGACCTAAATTCAGATGATGATCCACTTTTTATCTATCCAGTTTTGCAATACTGAACTGTCTTCAAGTCTTTACACTGGTCCAATTTAAGATGTTAGCTTGACTAGCATCTTAAATAGTTAAAAGCTTAACTATTAAGGAACAGATCTCATAACCTTCACTGAATGGGAGATGACCAGGAGACTTGAGGACTGAAGACTGATGTGGAAAAAACACTTTAAGAAAAGGCTGTGGCGAATTACTTTGACATTCGTGCCAAGTACATGAACTTGTCCAGGTGATCATCAGAGATTTATCTTGGACTTGCAGTCCTTACCCTTTCAAAGAAATACTTTTGTTCTTTTTTTTTTTTTAATTTGATTTATATGTCGCCCTTCTCCGGAGACTCAGGGTGGCTTACAATGTGCTCAGCAATAGCCTTCATCCTTTTGTATATTTATACAAAGTCAGCTTATTGCCCACACAACTGGGTCCTCAATTTACCTACCTTAGAAAGGATGGAAGGCTGAGTCAACCTTGAGCCTTGGCGAGATTCGAACCTGCAGTAATTGCAGGCAGCTGGTCTTAATAACCAGCTTAATAACAGGGTGCCTTAGACCACTGTACTACCAAGGCTCTTGCTATTTACCTGTTCTTATAGGTAAAAGGTGGAATCAATGACTCATGTTCCTTTTATGCTCTCATTTTTATAGATATATGTGCAGCTTTGATTGTTACCCTGCTACAAAATGTACTAGGAAGGGAGTTATTATCAGACGTATTCTGAGCATTTCAGCAGGCTAGCAAGGTTTGAGTTATTGCTTACTCCACATTACAACCCTAGTAAAATCAAAGAATGTGCCTTGATTTGATGATGAACTGCATTTTTAGGATTTTAGAGTTAAACTCTGGTTAGTGATAATTAAATTTTGGGGATATCCTTTTGCATTTGCAAACATAATTTGCAAAGTCTTTTTTGATGTAATCAAATGTATCAGTCCATGTTTTAAATAGTGAAGAGATTTTTGGTTGGATTTAGCTCTGTTAGAATCTAAATTCTAATCTTCATTTGAGATGAAAGGTAACATGAACCATCTAAGGCTATTCCATTTTTCAAAAGTTAAGGGACTCTTTAGGTACATCATAATGCAGCCCAGGGAGAAGGTGAAATTAGGAAAGACTGAGGAATGAACTTGAGGAAGTAATTTGGACCCCAAGCAGTGTTTTCAGCTCATATTTTTCCTGTTTGGTTCATTAAACCAGCACATATCAGTCTATCCATCTTAGAACTATCCTACATAAAATAATGCATTTCCTTTGCTACTTCCTTAAAATGTATTATTTCTTTTTAATCCAACAGATTATTGTCTGGGGAGACTATGGGCGTATGGATCATAAATCCTTTATGGGAGTGGCACAGATACTTTTAGAAGAACTGGACCTGTCCAATATGGTGATTGGCTGGTTTAAACTATTTCCTCCTTCGTCCCTAGTAGATCCAACTTTGGCCCCTCTTACAAGAAGGGCTTCCCAATCATCGCTCGAAAGTTCAACAGGACCGTCGTACGCTCGCTCATAGCAGCTGTGAACTTTTTCATAGCAACCAGCGTTACAAAAAAAAAATATTTAACAGGTCGCAAGCTCTGGTAACACTGCATGCTTAATGTTGCGTCTTTGGAGCCTGTTTCTAGGGCTAGAAAGCGATCCTGTATTCTCAGAGGAAGTTGCACACATTGTGCTCTAAAGGAAGCCCTCAGGTGAAGGAGTGGAACTGGAAGAACTGAATGGTTTGGAGTTCAGTGACACTCAACTTTTAATCCAATTTGAAGCCATGGATTAAACTAAAGAATCAAGTTGTCTCATGCAACAAGAATCCCTTCAACGGCACGTCTATTTTCTTGTTCCCTTTTCTTTACTGGCCCTTTTCTGCCCGCACCCACCCAAGCCTGGTTATGCCACAGAAATATGGAGCTACCCAAAGAAGTCGTGCTAGAAGAAAAAAGAAAAGTGAGCTGTCATTGCATTCATTAACAGCAGAGGAAACTTGCCTTATCAGAAAGCTTGAAGACAGAGTGGCAGGCTTTGTAACTCCGGCTACTAATGGAATCAAATCCAGCGTGGACTAAGTGAAAAAGTAAAATTCTGTGGCTATACTGTACTGTATGAATTAAAGACACTTTTTTGCATGGACACAGATTATGCTGAACATTTAAAATTATTTTCTTGGGGCTGCAACTTGCAAAAAAAAAAAAAAAGAATAAATCAGCCATTTTCAACAATTTATATTATTTTTAAAAATAAATTTCACTAGTGCATGGTTTTAAAAGGGAGAGAATGCAACAAGGTGATAGACACACCAAGTTATCATTCTTTAAACCAATCATGGTCTGTGTTTTTGCAGACAACAATGAAAAATTAATAATTTCTAGCAAATACTCAAATTATGTTTATGTGACAAGAAATAAATGTAATATATTAAATTTATTTAAATGTAAAAGGTACAAGCCTTGTAAAGTTCAAAATATGTGCAAATTGTACACTTCTTTCCCTTCTTGTTTCCCCCATCCTCCTTTTGCCCTCTCGTTGCTGTCCTGGCTCCCAGGATGATCATTATCCTTCGAAATTGCTACTTTTTGACTTACTACTCTCAAGCTCCCTATTTGATTCAGGGATACAGACTGATTCTGCATTTCTGAAATCTTTGAGAAAAAAATTGTTTAGGAACTTTTTTCAAGCATGTTGAAAAGAATTTTGCAACATGGCTTGGGGAGTACATTACAATAATTCAGCATGTATTTGATAACAAATTGAACTTTTTGCTGTTTATTGTACAGTGCATGAAAAACTTTTCCCTCTCCACCTTCAAATTGAATTCTACAGCAAAATACTGGAATCATGTGGCCATTTGTAAAACGTCTTCAATAAATTTGTTTTCAGCACCAGCATCATTCATTCAAAGGTTGAACTATCATTTCTAGATAAAGAAATATCAGAACAGTCTTGGTAAATATCAGCATCTAATCACTTCCATTGAGCCAAATAAATTGCTACCTATTAAACTCTTCTGTTCAGTTTTCATAAACTGGGATGGGAAAAATCAGTGAATATGAACTTGACATTCAAGTCATAACTTGAGCTGCAGTCCTGTATCTACTTAGTCTTTCTATTAATGGGAATTACATGCCCAAAGAGATTGCAGGTTTTTTTAAATTCTTAAACGCCTTAAACAAAGTACATAACATTTATTAATTTTGACACCCGTCACCACTAACCTAAAATGCACATGTTGCAGGTATTTGAAGCAACAAACACCTGTTTCCGATATCAGGTAATTTAGGGTAACTGGAAATGTGGATAATTTTAAGTCCAGATCTCATTTTTTCCTGATAAAAAGATATGTAACTTGTTCATGTTGAAGTGTATCATCCTTTTTTCCCCTGTATCTTTAGATGCCTTACAGACCTATTGTTTAATGATGAGGCATTGCAATAATATTTTAATATGTGCAACTATTAATTTAAGGCCATACTCATGAATATTTTACTTTTGTATTTACATATCCCTGTATGTACATGAATTATACGAGGGCAAAAGGAAAAATGGGTATACTGCCATTTCTTTTATATGGTTCAATTTTAAAACAGAACAGAATTCCTTCAAGGTTTGCCCATGTTCCATGCATGAGTACCATTGAATGTGAATGGAATTAATACAGTCAAAATGCTTGGTGAATTGTACCCTTGCAGTGATCTCAAACAGCACCTGCACCCCAAAGGGAATTCTTGTTGACAGGAGTTCTGTTTACGTACTAAACCCTTTTGCATTCATAAAAGAATTACCTAGATAAGAAGGATAATTGATCTTTTACAAGATTATGTATAGATTAATGACGATCGGTTAAAAACATATTGACTGAAATAATTTAATCACCTGTGTATGAGCAATCAATGAATATTAACACATGCATTAATCCCTAAAAATAAAAAAAAACATTTTTAAAGCATACGACTCTTTTCCTGATACTGTGATATGCAGTGGGTGCACACTTTATGCATATTCCTATAAAAATATTTCTAATTCAGATGAGGACATGACAATATGGAAAGTGTGTACGTAACTGGTCATTATGCAGTATTTATTTTTGATTGTATTTTTTTTAATATTCACATGTCTGCAACTCTACTTATAATTTAGTCATGTAAATAGCATACTTCCAGTGACCACAGCTGTCTTGTACATAGTCTGTTTTAAAAGTAACTGGAATCAAGGTTGGGAGAGAAAAGGCAGACTAGGCCTTTTGATGAACACCAATCAATGTAAATCAAACTCATTCTGGTGATGGTATTTAAGACTTTAAATAAAACATGTTTCTTTAGAGAATTTGTGGTTCTTTTTAATCATGTATATATATTTATACATGAATTTATAAAAATGAAAATTGACAACCAGCATGGTAGTATTTAATATGCTAGATTAGGACCTGTGGATGACTTTGGCTCAAACGGTCTTCCTCCTATTTCCACACAAAAGCCATCTATCAAAATTGAAAAGTACCTACCAACCTGTCTGTAACTTTAATAAAGAGGCCATCAACCTGCTGTGTGTTGGTTTGGGATGAAGATGATGATGATTACTTGGGATCTTAGTGCCTGGGTTATGAATACTAGCCATACTAAAATGCTTTCTGGTATATTTACATTGCTAACCCTGAAAAAACAACAGCTAACTATCAAGAAGAAGGCCTAACCTCAATTTAGACTCCTGAAAGCTAATCTGATGTATTGAACTGTGTGCTACATGATTATTTGAGAATTAAGTAGAGATTAGAGATCGTTGCTCATCCTGGACCTTTTTGCTCTTGGAATAGCTTTGGTTTGGTTAAACTATTAGTTTAAGACTAATTTTAAAATTCTCTTTGCCAAACTCTTTTAAAGCATATCTATGGAAATTCTCAGTCATCTAAGTCATGGTTGTCCCAAAGGTGCTTTTTCAAAGAGCAACTGGACTTCCTTTGTTTTTCCTTGAAGATGTTTCGCCATCCAATAAGCTTCTTCCGTTCTTTTATTTTTGCAAGAAAACTTCCCCAAGATGGTTATCTATATATACTTGGATTTCAACCTTCATGCTGATTGAGAATTATGGGTTTTTATTCAATACACCAGGATGACATAATAGTCACAGATAGTTTCTCTACTTGACTTTTTTTCTGCAGTTTTCCTGTCAGGGTTTATTTTACCTTTATGATTACATACAAGTCCCAGATATACAGTATGATCTAGTGACTTATTGGTAGCAGCAATATTATCCCACACAATCTAAGACCAGAAAATACTTCCATCATGGAAAAATATATGTTCTGGTGAGACAATTGCTTATGTAAATCTATTTAATAGAATCACAAATTCTTGAGATACTCTCCTTTATTAAGAAAAAAAAAATCCCCCGTTAGCTTTTAGTGATTCATCTTTTAAGCCTATCCATATGGAGCAAAGATAGTTTCAAAGGATGAATCACTAAAAGCAAAGTGTTTCTTATGACCAGGCTTAAATTATCCTACTTCAGACACATTATGTGAAGATCTAGCTCTCTGGGAAAGGATCTAATGGGGGTGGGGGGGTGGGCGGGGAATGGAAAGAAAGAGAAGAGGATGCCCAGCTGCAAAGTGAGTGGACCCAGTCACAGTGTGGTTGAGCGTACAATTGAGAGACTTGAAAGACCAAGTTAGGATAGATCATCATGGAGAAAATCTACGTGGTCTGTAGTCAAAACCAATTCAATGGCACATATGTGCAATACCCTTGCATCTTTGATCAAAGCTGAGGTTTTCACAAGGTTGAAAAATATATATTGCTCAATAAATGGCTCTTGAAGCAATAATAAAAGGAGGCTCTTCGCTGAGTCACTCATACCTTCGTCATCATCTCATTGGACTATTGCAATATGCTATACAGGGGCTAAACTCAAAAAGTATTTGGAAGCTTCAGCTTGTGCAGCTGTCTGAGCCATACTGGGTGACTGAAGAATGAAGAATGTAACATCATCACTCCATTGTATTGTACTGGTTACCAATTTGGTTCTGGGTCCAATTCAAGGTGTTGCTCATCATCTACAAAGCTCTACATGGCATTAGAGCAGGTTACCTTACAGAACTGGCTTTGTCCCATCACTTATTCAGGCAGGGAAGGAATGCTGCAGACCCCACCTGTCAATGAGTTTCATTCAGCAGGGTCTAGGACAGGTGTCAGCAACCTGCGGCTCCAGAGCCGCATGCGGCTCTTTGGGCCCTCTACTGTAGCTCCCTGTCGGGTGATCCCACCACTGGCTGGCCCTGCCCCTCGCCCTCCCCTCCCAGTCACTCCTCTCCTGGCAACAGCGGGTGATGGAGAAGTGGCCGGGGAAGAGACAGAGAGATACAGAGAGAGCGGGGGAGAGAGAGAGACATAGAGAGAAACAGAGAGAGAGGTGGGGAGAGAGGGGGGAGGGAGGGAGAGAGAGAGAGATGTCAAAGGGTTTTGTGGTTCCAGGTGTTTTTTAACAACCGGTTCTCTGCCCTAATGACTGGCTGGGTAGGTGTGGCTAGGGGGCATGTGACTGGTGGAAGTGAATGAAGTTGAGTTGGCCACGCCCACCCAGGTTTTGTGGCTCCCGGTGCTTTCTTTTCTGTGGGAAACGGGTCCAAATGGCTCTTTGAGTGTTTAAGGTTGCAGACCCTTGGTCTAGGAAGAAAGCCTTCTCTGTCACTGCCCCCACATTATGGAACACCCTGTCCCCAGAGGTGAGGAGGGACCCCACTTTCTTGGCTTTCTGCAAAGGAGTCAAAACTTGGCTCTGTGGCCTTGAGTGGAGGACACAGAGGACCATACAACCATGAAGGTGGCTAGCTCCCTGAGAACATCTCCCCCTCCAGTAATAATCAATGTCAAATGGCCATTTTGGGATTTTTACCCTTTTGAAGTTTATGAGATTATTCTATAAAGTTTTTTTTAATCCTAACTTAATTTTAGTTTTTTTGCTTTGTTTTATTTATTATATTACATTGTATAATATAATAAATTTATTTATTTATTATAGGTTTATAATATATATTATATATATCTAAATATAGATATTTATAGATAAAGTTTCCATCGCACATATGTGCTAGTCATTCCCAACTCTAGGGGGCAGTGGTCATCTCCGTTTCAAAGCCGAAGAACCAGCGCTGTCCGAAGACGTCTCCGTGGTCATGTGGCTGGCATGACTAAATGCCAAAGGCGCACGGAACGTGTCCCTTATAGTATATATAATTTAAATTATCCTACTTCAGGCGCATTATATGAAGATCTAGCTGTCTGGGAAAGGCTCAGAGCCCCTTTTGAGGGAGATGGGCAATTAGAAATATAAAATATAAATAAATAAGCAAGCAAACAAAGTCACAGGTTCTTTTATCTATGTCCATAGTCAGTGGGACCCCAAAATCTCAGAGGGCTAACACAAGCCTCCTTTGCCTCCAGGCAACCCCCACACAAGCACACAATGGGTAAGTAGTCACAGTTCCTCTCCTCACACAATTTCCCAGGCCTACTCCTACTCTTACTTGTAGACTACTACAACTTTTAAGCCCTACTGCTAAATAACAATATTTCTGTCTCTTAGCCCTACAGTGCTTCCAATGGCTCTATTTCCACCAAGAACAGAAACCATCTTCCCTCTCACTTCCATAACAACTCCAACATGCGAACAACTCCACCACAGCATTCACACCACACCTGGCTGCTTGTCGGCTTGGTTTTTATAGCTGGTCATTGCTGGGCACTAACAGGAGGTATTAAAGGAGCAGGGCACCATCAGTCCTTTCTTTTTCGGGTAGGCTGTCCTCTCACAGCTCCCAGAAACCTGATGTGACTTCTGGAGCATTTAATTAATTTAATTGGCCACAGGGTTGCCAAAGCACGATTTCTCCTTCCCCCATTCTGAAATTCTGGTCATTCCGAATAACCAAATCAGCTTTTATTCTATGGTGGGGGTCAGCAACCTGTGGCTCTTTCGCCCCTCTGCTGTGGCTCCGTCACTCAAAATATGCGTCACAACCGCCAATGTGCGACACCCGCCGGCACACAATTTATTGAGTTTTTCAACCCCCGGTAGGCCAATCATGGATAAATCCAAGAAAAGAAAAGTTTCATAAGAAAACAGAACGTTTAATTCGACTACATATGCTAGTTTTGTGGTGACTCAAGAAATAGTCAGGCACGAGAAAGTTTTTGTGACTCCCGGTGTTTTCTTTTCTGTGGAAAATGGGTCCAAATGGCTCTTTGAGTGTTTAAGGTTGCAGACCCCTGTTCTATGGTATGTGCCCATATTGTTTCTTAGCCAACTCTTGAACAACTGCAAAGTGGACAAAATGGGGGGAGTTCTGACTGAATTTCAAACAATCTCCCCCACCCACCTGCATCAACATATTTTGGTGAGATATATACTCCGTGTGTGTGTGTGTAATCTTGCAGTCATGCAGAAAGAATGTTTAAGGAAAAATGTGTGAGCATAAAAATGTGAACATAAAAGTGCTAAGTAAGGAAGAAAAACCTATTATTTGAAGTGTCAAGCTGAAGTTTCTTTTCTGCCACTTGCAAATTTAGCCAACAACAACAACAAAAAAAAACCCGCTTGTCAAAATTTGAATTGGTTCTTATCTCATTTACATTGGCACTGAAGTGCCACTGATTTGATTTTCAGGAATCCTGCAATTCATGGCCTGCTTCTATATGTTCCAGGTCATGGGCTGCTTGCAAAGGGTCTGATTTTCAAAATGGTTTTTTGAAGAACTGTATAACCATATTACTGGGACATGGTAGCTCAGTGGCTAAGAAGCTGAGCTTGTTGATCAAAAGGTCGGCAGTTCAGCGGTTCAAATCCCTAGTGCCGCATAACGGAGTGAGTTCCTGTTACTTGTCCCAGCTTCTGCCAAACTTAGCAGGTCGAAAGCACATATAAAATGCAAGTAGAAAAATAGGGACCACCTTTGATGGGAAGGTAACAGCGTTCTATGTGCCTTTGGTGTTTAGTCATGCCGGCCACATGACCATGGAGACGTCTTCAGACGTCTTTGAAACGGAGATGAGCACCACCCCCTTGAGTAGCACATATGTGTGAGGGGAACCTTTACCTTTACCTTTATAATCATATTGGATTACTAGGACTATTATTAAAAGTCACTTGCCGGTTATTATAGTCACTAACAGGTCAGAAACATGAGACCTCCTCAAAATCAGCCATTCCTAAATGTTATGAAGTAAAAGGAAGAAGGGTTTGATTAGGCAATTCCTGCCAATTTATTTACCAAGACACTATAGATCAGGAATGTCAAACTCGTGTCGTTATGGCGGTGTCATGTGATGTAT